ACACACACACACACACACACACACACACACACACGTATTTAAATTATTTTATTTGAATGTTCTGTATGTGTAAAAGGCACCAGTTAGAATATTGCCTACTGGCGAAAATTTTTAATTTGGTAAGTTGTTGCATGGGAAAAGAATTAAGCGAGACCATGTTAGAAAGGACAGTTTATATTAATTATATTACACATTTACTGACTCTTGTTGGTTCTAGCAAATGCCTGTTTATCTACATCGTCTTCTAGAAAGGTGCTCCCTTTGTAAGTATGGGTACGATACTTCCCATGATCCTTTGCGCCTCCTACTACGTGATTGTAGTCCTAAGATAATGAGGCCTTGTGTGCCAGGTGCTGAACAGTATGCAACTCCAATAGCTACCCCTTTTTTGATACGTGAAACAATAAAACTTAAATAATTCTGTAGATTATATTTGAATATTTAACATTCCAATGCTTCTAGTCAAGACATTTTAATAGTTCGGTGTTTATGTTTGTTTTTTTGTCGGCTAACTTGTGACCTGTGATGAAACATTCCATTTTGGTTCTGGTATCATAGTTTTTGATGAACCTCTTCATCTAAGAAACATTTTCTACTGGGAAATGATTAGAGTATTTAGGTCTTTGAGTTTAGAAATCGTCTTTGGAAGGCGATCTAAGTATTGATATGACTAGACACTGATAGAAAAAAAAGAAAAACTTAGACGCACTAGCGCGTTCTTCTAACGCTATAAGAAAGAGTTCTCGTACCAAAGCTGGTTTTCGTACTCCCTCTAGTTGTGTAATTTTCCCCCAAAAAATTAGCAGCGTTTTATTGCCTGTTTTCAAAATTTACAGACTGGAGAATTGAAACTGTATCTTAATATCAGCTAATAGAACTTCGCAAAATATTTTAACCCGACGTTTCGGTATACGTCTTCGTACATGTGTCATGAACTACACGAAGCTGAAAGCACTTGTAAAGATAAGATTAGTTATGTTTGTTTTCGTAATAACTTCACTGTTTCAGCGCTTATATTTGGCACACAGAGGAATTTTGTCTTTTTTACTTTTTTTTTTTTTTCGGGGAGTGAGTGAAATCGATACCACAGGTATTGAACACTTTAAAATAAAGTGTTAAAATGAAAATTATCTTTTCCATAAAAAAATCTCGTTAAAAGGTTAAAAAGTCTCCTTTTTTCAATCTTGGCTTGTACTTAATTTCTACACAAAACTCGTAGTACTGATGTTATTTGTTTCTGCGGCAACAGGTTTTATGTAGTTGTGTTATAAAATGTAAGGTTTTAATGTACAAATTATTCGGCATTTATTGACTATTGAGGCTGAATTCGAACGATTACGTTTGATAGTGTCTCACGAAACATGATACTCAACTTCCGAATCTCCGCCGAAAACGGCCGAACACACCTCGTCTCCAATGACAAGACTAGAAAAAAAAAAGCGTTCATTGGTCGGGATTGTTGGTAATAGTCTATTTCAATAGCACCTCACGTATCTAACTTATAGAATAGTTTATGTCTATGTGTGTCGCTTTATATATGTAGATGTTAAGTTGCTATATGTACCAGAAAGTAGCAGTTGGTTGAGTAATATGTAACTTTTCGTCTCCTTGACGATTTTCAGTAACTAAAGTTATTAGTCATTTCTATCGATATTTTATCATGTTCTTTTCTTGTTATTCATTATTCACTAGTAAAATATTTTGGTGTTTTCTAAAGTTTATAATGTATTGCTCTATTTATTGTATTATATAGTTTGGTTTATTGCAGTTAAATTAGAAGCAGCGACATCTACCGGCATCGTGTAAGAGCACATACCCTATGTTGAATTCCCTTGGGAATGGCCAATGCTTGCGGTTTTTCGGGAGGTTTTTGTATGGTTACAATTCTAATACAGATAGAATTAAAGATAAACTGAATTAACGAAATCCGAATGTTGAGGGGTTCGAATTTTTTTTTTTTTTAAGTAGACCAATGCCTGTTCTTTTCTGCGTAGTTTTAATTGTATTGCTATATTTGTACTTTTTCCATGTTGAAAATAAATTTCTTCTTGGAAAGCATTCTTTAGCTTCAATGATTGTAAGCTGGATGGCCATCAGTAACCGAAACGATAGGCCATCAGTAACCGAAACGATCTTTCTCATTAATATGGGTAAAATGATTTCGGATTAGATGATAAACGTTAGACTAAAAATCAAGTCTGACCGATGAAAAATAATAATTAAAGATGTATCTGGATTAGATAAATTAATTGGGCTATCTACCGTGGCCACCGCGGGGAATAGAACCCCGGATTTGTGCGTTGTGGTTCGTAGACTTACAGTTAAGTGAAATGACTACTTTTCTATTTCTACGTCAAATATCTAAGTCCCACTACCACCACCCCTGCAGCAATTGATGGGATTAAATGCAATACTGGTGGTATTTCTGCTTGCATTTTCTGTATGTTATCGGGGACCCAATTAACAAAGTCGTGGTCCCATTAAAAATTTGGTGCAAAAAAAAAACATTTAGAAAAACGTCCATTAACGTCCAAATTAAAAAGAAAAAAAAATGGCGATGTGGTTTGGACCCCATAAGAAGTTCTATGGTTACTATTTAGGGAATTATTCAGGAAACACTGCTTCAACACGAATTTAAGGCTCATGGATTTGCCCGAGGTAAGTCTGAGGGTTTTTTAAAGTAAAAATCTGGTTTAGATACTCGTGGTTAGCACAGCACAGTTAACTCATTGTGTGTTTAACAAACAAACTGATTCGCCAAGACTAACAAGTTTAACACTTTACAGGGTTGACAAGCGGATGGGATTTCACTGTAACCTTTACCTAATGTAGGAGGCAATAGTAAAGTTATGTTGATTACAATTCTTTTTTGTAGGTTAGTTATTTATCTACACATTAATTAGGTAAAGTGTTATAACTTCCTAAAAATGAAAAAATCTTAGTTTTAAAACCAAACCCCAAAATAAGTCGTAATGAGAACCAGATACAACTTTTAAATAACGTAAGGGATTTGAACAGAAAGTATTTAACATAACGTATTTTATTTATTTCCTAAAAAAAAAGAATAGAACCATTTCAATGCTAAAACTACAGGTAGAAATGGATGTATATATATATATATATATATATGCATGCTTTACAAAAACAAGTATGTTAAAAAATAATAAGAACGACAATAAAGTAGTACAGTGACCTTTTTTCCTATGTACAACTTGTTTGCAACTGGCATGGCCCGGTGGTTAGGGTTACTAGACTCGCAATCCGCTGGTTCGGATATCTCACTATTGAGAGTAGCCCAAACGTTGGCGGTATGGTTGTGTTCATTAGCTGCCTTTTTCTCTATTCTATTACTTCTAAACTAGGGACAGCTAGAGCAGATAACTCTCGAGTAGCTTTTTACGAAATTCGACAAACAATCGAACTAGTTCTGGTGTCCCACGGTGGGACAGCGGTAAGTCTACGGATTTACAACGATAAAATTAGGGGTTCGATTCCCCTCGGTGGACACGGCAGATAGCCCGATGTCGCTTTGCTATAACAAAAGACACACACACACACACACACACACACACCAGTTCTGGAAATTCAATGAAGTAAACATTTCCAAAGTTTTTAAGGTAATATTAAGAACGACTCTAAGAAGATAACGTACAATATACCTGAAGGAACCATGACTACATATAACAGATGCAACAAATATGCATCTTTAAAGAAGGGGGGTAAAACACAACAACTAAGAATCAATAGAAATATTGCTCACTCTGGTAAACAAGTGCAGAATAATTTAAATCTGGGTTTCGAAACTGTTTTGCACTGACGTCACCCTAACCCAATTACCTTGGTTTGCGCGACACCCCTACTGCCACATGGTTTTTGTGGTTTCTTTTTTATTATTATTATTTGTTGTTGTTGTTTACGTTCTT